TACATGAGATAAACACGCACTATGCCTAGACTCCTCTCAAATTAAGACAGATGATTTAAAACGTCAAATGTAATGGAAATAATTTCTGTAAATGTAATATAATGAAATAAAATATTTTTTATAATGTAATTAAGTGAATAGGTAATGTTTATAATATATTCCGTATGGCCTATTTATTCTATTACAGTTTCAAATAATAGACCTTTAATTTATTTTCTGTTAAACTATTAAATACAATTCATGCGTCTTAAACATGGCTGCTTCCAAAGCATTATACCAGCCTGAATCTCGCAGCATGTCTCCTCCTAAAATGACTTAATTACATTTTGTGGAACTGAGGGGGTTGAAGCGGGAACTGTTTTACTGGAGTCCCGGGCCATGCTCCCTCATAAGGTTTATTTATTTTTGTAAAATGGTCATTTGTGCTATCATCCACACATGCAAAGTTGGTTGATAACATAACTGCGATAAAGTAATAGCCTAGTTAACAATTTACTTGTTCACATATAATGCATTTTATATTATTTAGGCACTCGTAGGCTATAATTTGACAGAATGTTCTAATTCAACATGCCATGGAATGTCAATTTAACTTTTCTAACATTTTCTTATTTGATATTGTTTATTTCTTAGTCCTAACAGTTCATCAGGCTCTTAATGGTTTAATCTGTGTCATCTTTTGGAATATCTGAAGGCCAGGTTTTTCCATAACTCATCATTAGGACCCATTTTACGCATGGCTTTCGATTTTGTACTTGCTATTATGAAAATGTACCATTGTTCTTTGTAACATTTGTTTTAATAAGGCTAGCCTATTAATCATTACCAGGCCATCACTGACTTTTTTTTATTATTATTAATCTACAGTATATAGCATTTGTTATGAAAAACAACAGCCTGCAACATTTCGAAATAGCTTACAACACAACGGTTGTAATAGCCTACAAATCTATGTGGAAAAATCCATCCCCTTAACAGATTATCTATTATAAATTCTACAACAAGTTAGACAAAATTTACCACGATAAATAAGCCTACAATAAAACGTGATAAATGCTAGTAAAGGTGGTCACGAGTAGGCTAGTTTAAAAAGATTTTTAATATATGTTAGTGCTTGTGCAAGATTATGTTTTCTCCTCTTTTCATCAGTCTTTTTTAGTTTATGTGTCTTTTTTTTTAGATAATGTTCGACTTTCTCCATAGCATTTTAAAGTGGCAATTTCTCGATAGAATTCAAATAGATCGCACATTTTTATCATCAACTTCGCGATAGGAATGGATCGCGCAAATCTTATCACTTTTTTCCAGTGCGCTACAGTAAACGCGCGCAAGAGTAGCTATAAGGTCATTCGCGCGCCGCTCCTGCACAATAAAAAGAACTGCGCTTCAGTCATATTGTGCTGATAACTGGTCCGTTCGGTTCGTACGTGAAGTTAGCGCTAATATATTATTTAAACAATCAATTAATAGCCTGATTCTAGGTTTCCATGAACCATGGTATAAATATTGGGGTGGTTGTACTGGCTAGTTTTGCTTAATGGTGGGATCCCTCCCCCCATCCCCCCTCGCAATCTACGCCCCCAAGCCTGTAACAGACTGTATTAGTCGGGTAGAGCAACACAGCTGGGAAAGATGCTTTCCATGGCATTTTCAGGTTTGTTTAGTCATAAATAAAAAATCAGATCAACAAAGTGAAAGCAAACCTTTGATGTAGAGAGCTGGCAGAAAGAATGGGGTGTAGCAGCCATCAAATAATAGTTTCATGGAGACTGTGTTATATAGCCTACATTCATAACAAAAATAAATAAATCAATAAATAAAGACATTTGATCGGTTGTTCCCCTCATGAATTAGCCTAATAATAAAGTTATGTAATGACTGTCTAGATGTTGTTATTTAGATCATAATAATATTTAATAATAATATTTTACTATTCCAACAGTACAATCGACAATATAGTGTGTGAAATCAAGATATCTTAAATAAAACAATTAACAGTCTTGACACATTTTTGAATTACTGAACATTTTGTTAGTATTTTCTACAAAATACTGGACAGTAAAATGCAGGCTTTAGAGACTAATTCAGCTACAGAAAAACCTTTCAGTACCATGATAGTTTGACAACTTTTATGGATTTGCTGCCCTCTTGCGACCTACTGGAATTATTACAGGGGGAAAAAGTCATTTGTGTCGTTTTTGCTAAAAAATTAAAATAAAAAAATGTCTCAGTTGTCTTCACGTTTGAAAGTTATAAGCACAGACCATATGATGATGATCATATGATGTCAGGTTAAACAATGCACCAACAGGCCTAATTCTCGTCAGGAGCCGCATGTTCTCTTCCGTAGCCTATAGCAAATAATTCTATGCCATATTGATTACAGGGAAAAAAAGTCATTTGTGTCGTTTTTGCTAAAAAGTAATTAAAAAAAATGTCTCAGTTGTCTTCACGTTTGAAAGTTATAAGCACAGACCATATGATGATGATCATATGATGTCAGGTTAAACAATGCACCAACAGGCCTAATTCTCGTCAGGAGCCGCATGTTCTCTTCCGTAGCCTATAGCAAATAATTCTATGCCATATTTGATGGTAATAAGATGACGCTTACCGATGACTAATGACTGGCTTGTGCATATTAATTTGTATCATTCTAACCGTGTTCGGTAACTTTCCAATAGCGAAACCTATTCATGAATATATATATAGCCTATATATATATATATTATTATATATAACAGCCTATATCGTGAGCTATTGATGGGACGATTTTTTAAAATAGGACTAACGTGGTTTCAGCAGTGGCACACAAGCCCTAAAACAAACCATAAGCACATTACGTTTATTTATAAGGATGTTTATTGCATTTGCCAATCAATTTATTTTGTTGTAATGATATAGGCCTAGTTAATAGCCTATTAATACAATATTCAGCAATGCCCTATTCGCGAATAAATCAATCCTTTAAACTCAGTTAAATGAATTGCTCAAACTGGTTAGCAAAATCGTTTTAAGTTGGTTCGCGATTTATTTTGAATGTAATCGGGCATTTGGAACATTATGTTAAATAATTCAGTCATATTGTGCTGATAACTGGTCCGTTCGGTTCGTACGTGAAGTTAGCGCTAATATATTATTTAAACAATCAATTAATAGCCTGATTCTAGGTTTCCATGAACCATGGTATAAATATTGGGGTGGTTGTACTGGCTAGTTTTGCTTAATGGTGGGATACCTCCCCCCATTCCCCCTCGCAATCTACGCCCCCAAGCCTGTAACAGACTGTATTAGTCGGGTAGAGCAACACAGCTGGGAAAGATGCTTTCCATGGCATTTTCAGGTTTGTTTAGTCATAAATAAAAAATCAGATCAACAAAGTGAAAGCAAACCTTTGATGTAGAGAGCTGGCAGAAAGAATGGGGTGTAGCAGCCATCAAATAATAGTTTCATGGAGACTGTGTTATATAGCCTACATTCATAACAAACAAAAATAAATAAATCAATAAATAAAGACATTTGATCGGTTGTTCCCCTCATGAATTAGCCTAATAATAAAGTTATGTAATGACTGTCTAGATGTTGTTATTTAGATCATAATAATATTTAATAATAATATTTTACTATTCCAACAGTACAATCGACAATATAGTGTGTGAAATCAAGATATCTTAAATAAAACAATTAACAGTCTTGACACATTTTTGAATTACTGAACATTTTGTTAGTATTTTCTACAAAATACTGGACAGTAAAATGCAGGCCTTAGAGACTCTAATTCAGCTACAGAAAAACCTTTCAGTACCATGATAGTTTGACAACTTTTATGGATTTGCTGCCCTCTTGCGACCTACTGGAATGATTACAGGGAAAAAAAGTCATTTGTGTCGTTTTTGCTAAAAAGTAATTAAAAAAAATGTCTCAGTTGTCTTCACGTTTGAAAGTTATAAGCACAGACCATATGATGATGATCATATGATGTCAGGTTAAACAATGCACCAACAGGCCTAATTCTCGTCAGGAGCCGCATGTTCTCTTCCGTAGCCTATAGCAAATAATTCTATGCCATATTTGATGGTAATAAGATGACGCTTACCGATGACTAATGACTGGCTTGTGCATATTAATTTGTATCATTCTAACCGTGTTCGGTAACTTTCCAATAGCGAAACCTATTCATGAATATATATATAGCCTATATATATATTATTATATATAATATATCGTGAGCTATTGATGGGACGAGTTTTTAAAACAGGACTAACGTGGTTCCAGCAGTGGCACACAAGCCCTAAAACAAACCATAAGCACATTACGTTTATTTATAAGGATGTTTATTGCATTTGCCAATCAATTTATTTTGTTGTAATGATATAGGCCTAGTTAATAGCCTATTAATACAATATTCAGCAATGCCCTATTCGCGAATAAATCAATCCTTTAAACTCAGTTAAATGAATTGCTCAAACTGGTTAGCAAAATCGTTTTAAGTTGGTTCGCGATTTATTTTGAATGTAATCGGGCAGTTGGAACATTATGTTAAATAAAAATGCGTAGAGCACAAGCAAAAACAGCACTGGTTGGAGCGAATAGGCTATTTAACAAACAAACAGTAAATAGGCCTACATAAAAAAATAAAAAAATAAGTGTATCATAGTTTGCATACGATAAAGAAGGTAACAATTTATAAAGGCATTCTGCAGGTAAACATTAAGCATTTTCATCCACTACCTCGTCTGGTCTAGTCTTGTTTTACTGGATCATTGCGAGTCTTATCCAAGAGACGCTTATTGGTTCTCTTAATTGAGTCAGTGAAGTGATGCTTGAGAGCCGCTCGAACCGCTGCAGTCCAATAAATGAACGAATTATTCAGATTGATTCTTGAACCGGTTCAGCAAATTCATTAAAAAGATCCGTTTCAATAGAACGATTCTTTCACGAATCGGACATCCCTTTTATGGTCTAAGGCTAAGCCTTCACCATAGTAGGTTTCCTTTACCTTTGGAGCAGGGATCACTTCTTGGTTTATTCAGGGTTTTTGTAATTCCGTTAGAATGGAGAACGACTCCGAGTCCCGCATGGACAGCAGCAGCACTACTGACAGAACCAGTAAAAGTTCAAACATTGAGAGTTTAGGCTTGTCACACTCCAAGTTGGTTTATGATGGGAACTTTATTCGCTCTGCTTCTGGTGTGTTTATGGCTGGAGAAATCGTAAGTAAGCAGTGGATCTAAACTTACTAAAAATCCTATTAGCCTACTTTTAAGTCAATTGATAAAACATGGGTTGTATGAATTAGAATTAAAGAAAACTCATCTAGATTGTTGAAAGTAGTATCTATAATTAGAAATGGATACTTTTTTGCACAAATTTTGTTTCCACTTTCCATTTCCCAGAGGAGGATGTCATGCTGCATCTCTTGATATTGTAAAAGTGAAACTGGTTTGAAATTTGTTGTTTTAATCTGCGCCGTTCATCTGCTGTGAAAAAGAAGCACATTTTAACTTATGTAAAAAGAGTAGCTTACGTATTAGTAATATTTAGGAAGTAATATATGCCTACTTTAAAAGAATATATTTAAGTGCAAACTGAATGTAATGTTTAGGACACGTAATTGCATGTTATTTGCAATTTAATGAAGATCTACTATAGTTTATATTACATTTGTTTTGTAGTTTAAATGCAATTAGTAAAACATAAGAGTGCTTAAGGACTTAAGTACATCTTTATATGTAATTTAATAATTACTTCTTTTGTCTTTGAAATATGGCTAAAATATATATGTATATGTATATATATATATATATATATATATTGCAATAAGGAAGTTATATAGTAATATTAGATAACATACAGTTAAAATGATAATAAAGTAGTTTTACATGTGCTTTAGCATGTTAGTGAACAGCACACAGAATAAATGTTCTTCTTTAAAGCACAGCAAAAAAAAAAAACATTAAAACATCATGATATAAAATATACTTTAAGGTCAACCTTTTAATTTAGCATTATTACAAAATGCACTTTTTAAAGTGTAATTAAATGAAAAATGAAAGTTTACTCTCTTTACGTACACTTAAGAGACCTTCTATTTCATTAATATAATTGCAAACATTATCGTTTTTTTTTTTAAATATACTTTTTAGATTCGAAGTACACTGCAAGTGTACATTCAAAACAATTAAGCACACTTCTTTTTCACAAGGAATTGCTTGCAACGAATATATGATGAATAGGAATAACAAAATGTAAGATTTTTTTTGTTGTTGTTGTTCATAAAGATAATTACTCACAAAGGAAAGAGAGGAAGAGGACCAACCAAAACAGTGTGGAAACAAACTCTTCCTTTTGGCTTGTATTGTTCTTCTTCCTTCCACCACATGCTCTGAGTCAAATCTAAGCGTTCCCTTTCCTGGTGTAATCTACAGCCAGCTCTGTCTTCCAAACCCAAAATTATTTTTCCTGCAATATCAAGAACACAGTGAGAAATTCTTTGCTGTTTATAACAGGAAGGGAGGGTGGGAAGTCTCTGGAGCATAATTTGGTGTTAAAAAGGAATGGTGGCTAGGCCCAGTTCTGCTGCTTAGAGAACATAATTGTCATTGTTTTTATTTTGTTTGTCAGAATGTGTTTTTACAGCTCAATTCTAAAGTGTTTTTCAGGTCCTAAAATATGAGCTGGTGCTAACATTTACGCAATTGGCAGATGCTTTTATCCAAAGCGACTTACAGTGCATACAAGTTGTATGTTTTATCAGTACATGCATTTCCTGGGATTCAAACCTATAACATTGGCTTTGTGTCATGCTGTACTATATTTGAGCTACAGAAATGCTCTCATGTCATGGCCATTATCTGCTTTCTTATAGCTGGTTTTAGATCAGTTTCATGGTGTTTAAAGAGTGCTGTTTCAGTCCGTCTGTGCTCCATCTTCACACTCAGGTGTTTGGGCTCCTGGTGTGGACTCTGATTGGTGGGACAGAATACCTCCATGTTCCTCCACTGGGATGGGTAATGTTTGTGTCAGTCTTTTACTGGGTGCTTACTGTTATTCTCTTCCTCTTATACCTGACTATGGCCCACACCAGGATTCCCCAGATCCCATGGAATATTTTGGTGAGTAAATTTGAAAAAAAAAAGTTAAACTTATCTAAATTAAACTACACAAATGAATGTCTTTTTCACCAAACTTTCATTAAACTGAAGGCTTCTTAATTCACAGGGAATATGTTTTAATGGCAGCGCCTCTGTGTTGTACCTGACTGCAGCTGTGATTTGTGCTGTATCTTTGAATGTGGCCATTAGGGGGCGCTACTACTTCATCAGCTGGGTGGCATCAACGGTATGAAAAGCAACTTCCCTGATTTGTTTAGCAATACTCTTGTTGTCTTCTAGCCTAGCAATGTCTTTCCTACAACACATGATTATTGTCCTGGACTGAAATAATGAGTTCACATTAAGTAATCTGACATAACTGTACTGCATTTTGTTTATGTGTGTGTCATGCAATTACATGAAGAACATGTAACTGTGGCCTATAATATAATTTGAATGACAAACTCCTGTTCTTTTCCTTTTCAGATATTTGCCTCACTGGCTATGGTGTGTTATGCAGGAAATACAGTTGTGCATTTCAAATCCTGGAGATCAAAAAGTGAAGATATATAAGCAAATAGTTTGTTTGCTTGTCTGTTTGCTTTTATTATCCCTGGGGGATCATTTATGCAAATTTAAAGAATCACATAAAAAAAAAGAATTTTATTGTGGTTGAAGTGCTTAAAATGTATGTAGCTTTGTTACTATAAATAAAACTTTAACTGTACACTACAGAATATTTCTCAGTTGAATTTACATATTAAATTAATTAATGAGCAAGAACATACAAATCCATGTTTAAACCCATGCTGTATCACTACTGTAAGCCCACTATAATGATTTATATTTAGAGCTGTTAGATTCAATTTGATGGGAGGTTTTAGGATTTTGCATTAAAGGGGACCTATCATTCCAAATTCACTTTTATATGGTATTTGTGCACACATCCACCCCATAATGGTAAAAATTCACCCACTCCTTTTTTTATATTCCCCATAAATCATAAACAGCGTCTCGAAACGAATGCTGTCTTTTGTGATGTCACAAAAGGGTTAAGCCCCACCCACAACTGCTGATGGCCCTATTAGCATAGATCAGGGGTTGCAGGTTCTCAACTCTGGCCCTTGAGATCGACTTTCCTGCAGAGTTTAGCTCCAAACCTAATCAAACACACTAATCAAGGTCTCCAGGATTACAAGAAAGTTAGAGTCAGGTGAACTTGATCAAAGTGGCATAGATCCTTCCCCTGCACTGTAAAAGAAAAAAAAAATCTGTCAGCAGGAGTGCCAAAAGAAATAAATAAAAAATCACTGTGAATTGCAAAAAAAAAAATACAAAATTGAAAAAACATCAACATCTAAACCTTTGTTAATCCTCAATAAGAACTTTTATGGACATATGACAGGAATAAAGTCAATCTGGTTAGTAATAAGTAATGCTGCTTTTGGAGTTGTTTACATAATAGATATCGATTAATTGTCTTACATTTCAGTTGATTTCATCTAAGGTTGTGGCTGGAAGTCAGTTGTAGTTGTTGTGTTTTCGCTCATCTCTTTTGTCTTTTTTCTGTTCTTGTTGTTTCTTTTTCCTTCAGTGATTCTGCTTGTTAAGAGCAGGTGTTTGTAACTAATGACACTCAGGGCTCTATCATACATCCGGCGCAATGCGGCGCCAGGCGCGACGCAAGTGTTTTTTTAGCTAGTTTCAGCCCGACGTAGTAATCATTTTCACGTCCTGCGCCACGTTGTTTAAATAGCAAATGCATTTGCGCCCATTTGTGCGCTCATGGGCGTGCTGAACTGAAAACGAGGAGTGTTCAGGCGCATTGTTGGCGCGTTGTTATTTTGAGGCAACTGAAATAGACTGCGCCATTGACCAACAAAAACCTGGTCTAAAGCCAATGGCGTAGTAGTTTTATTTAATTATTTATTTTGTTATTTAAAGAGCGCGCTAGTCGGGTCCACAGCACGCGTACTCTCTGCTTATTCCACACAGGGACGCACAGCAGCCCACAAACATGCCAAATATTAAAAATGAAAGAATATCAATGTAAAAGATTAGTATTGTGTAGGCTACATAAATATAAAAATGCCTACATGTCATAATGCATGGTTCCTCAAATCTTGCCCTGGAGAGCCAATGCGCTGCAGAGTTTAGCTCCAACCCTGATCAAACTCACCTACCTGTGATTTTCTAATGACCCTGAAGACATTAGCATGCTCAGGTGTGTTTGATTAGGGTTAGAGCTAAACTCTGCAGGAAAGTGGATCTCGTGGGCCAGATTTGAGGATCCCTGTCATAATGGATAGTCATTGTATGGATCAGAATTAGACTACCTATTTGCTCGCACACGAGCAGCTCCGTTTCATCTCTGGAGACGCGTTCTGTCTTTACGCTTGCAAATAGCAAGTCCGCCATGGCACGAGCGCAACTGGCTCTTAAAGTGAATGGGAGATGAGACTCTGATTGGTTTATTGCACATTATGCCCAAAACACACCCATTACTCATTAAGAGAATAGGGACAACCCTTTTAAACCATGCGCCGGGCGCGCCGACCGTTTTTTCCGTCGTTAAACTAGCAAAGGTGGATTTGGACACTCACTAAGTGCAACTGCGCCATGCGCTTAAAGCCCGGGATACACTGCACAATTTTAGCAATCCTATAAGATCATTACTTTATCACACTGTGCGACATGGATCGTTTAAACTTGGGTAAGACAAGCATGTAGACTGTACGATTATGACACCTATTGAATCGTAGGCTGCGACACACGTTAGCGCAACGTCATCAGCATGCGCTAGTGGTAAACAAATACCGGTACATCAAGATGGATCGCGCTTTGGCAGTTGTGCTTTTCATGTTCACTGAAACAAAGAAGAGGCCAATATGGACCCGCTCATGGCTCGGGAAAAGAGGACAACTTGGGATGCCAGTTTTGCACAGGGAGCTTGGCAGCTGCAGTTCCTCCGCTGTCTCCTTCCATGCTATGTCCTTTTTGGTGCGGTCATGATAGCAGCTAGATGACACATTGTACAAACATGCTCTCTGCTGCCACAACTCAACAAGAATTTGTTCTTTATGGGTATCCCACATACCAATATACCTTCTTTTTTTTTGCCTCCATGGCATTGAAATTGTAGCGTCGCTGGTCGCGTGGATCAATAAGTTTTTTTCATGTTGCAATTTCATTGGCTGCTGAGTAGACGCAGGTCGTTGCAGCAAACACACTGTGCATTGATCATGCTGAATTTATGACACTGTCAGAAAACTATGGTAGGCTATCTTTGGTCGCAAGACCGGGAAAACGCCCGTCTTTGAACCTCTCTCACTGTACGACATAGGACCACCGATTAAGAGCCACGATCACAGAAATCGCCACGATTGCTTCACGATGGCAATCTTTCGTCTGGGACAGCCAAAAATCGTGCAGTGTATCCCGGGCTTTAAACCTTGCGCTTAGATAGTTAAAATAGGACCCTCAGTGTCTGAGTTCACTCACTTGTTTTAATTCACTAATCGAGTGGACTATGGACCCACTTTATATTAAGTGGCCTTAACAACTATGTACTTACATTTAAATTAATAATTTGGTACAATGCACATACATGTTTTTACATTGTACTTATATTTTAAAAAATGCCTGCATGTAATTTCATCTGTAATTCATTTCTGTAATTACATTTATAATTACACAGTTGACACATCCCTTACACCTTAACCCACCCTTAAACCTACCCATAACACCAAACCTGTCCCTAACCTTACCCGTATCCCACCTCAATAGCAGCAAATGTGTTTTGTAATACAATATGAACACAATAAGTACATTGTACTTAATTTTTGATGTAAGTACATAGTAGTTAAGGCCACTTAATATAAAGTGGGGCCTGGACTATTGTAAACTAATGTAGGGAATAGTGAATGACAGAAAAGGGTTTAACAGTTTTTATTCACAGTTACAGGTTTTCATGTTATTTTACATGATACATTTAACCCTCAAGCATCCTTCACAGAGCAGCCCTTAATGAGTCCTTCGTGGACAAATCTGGGCACGAATGTTTCAAGTGTGATTCTTATTTTTGTAGCGAATCAGCTCATGGGGAAATATGAATAATTAATCATAACTAGTTATAATTAATTATAAATATTTAGATCCGCTGTAGATATTTACTTGACCTCTCAGGGTCAACTGTCTGTCAATTCTAAGAACGTTAATTTCCTGGTTAAGGGAAATAACTTTCTTACTGTACAACTCTACACAGAGCCTGTAGCATAAATCTGCAGTTATGAGCAAACAATGACCAACGTCAAGTGTGATACAAGTAAGACTTTATTAACTACATAAACACTTAAACTAGTCCAACATACTACATAAACACTTAAACTAGTCCAACATACTACATAAACACTTAAACTAGTCCATCAAATGAAAAATTGTGTGTTTGATTGGTCCAGACGCTACATTTTTTTTAAATAAATGTCTTAACACTATCTTCACTTAAGTAAAAACAATCAATTTATGCATTTCTTTTGTGTGTGTGTGTGTGTGTGTGTGTGTATGTGTTGTTTTATTTATCTCTAAAATTACAAAATTACTCCATTGACTGTCATGTAAAATATGCTTATTTTTTCTTATTTTTTTTTTCTTCAGTAAAAATATTCATTCCAGTAAGTTGAAACAGCCAAAACCTCAAAATATGGTATACTTTGGCGACATCGGATGAAATATCTTGGTATAAAAATAGCAATTACATGAAATATCAATGCCACTATGACTGCAGTAGGCCGACTCACTGGCTGTATAGGCTGAAATCTAAATCAATGTTGTAACAAACTGAACCTCTTAAGCTTTAGATTTTATCACAAATTAAAATTGTAGAATTAAAAAAAAAAACATTTGTGTTGGGTAAACTATACAAATATGCCAAAATATGCGTATAGACAAATCTGACCATGCCATAAGGAAAAGACAAAGTAGAAGAATCATTATCATAAGAATCAGTAATCATTTATTTCTAACAAAAAACTTCCAATTTCAATAACTCAAAAAAGTAATATGGTACCAAACAGGTAAGAATAAACAATAGATCAAGTAGCATGTTCCAGACATGTTTTGCTTGGAAGCATCAACAAATCTTGCAGTAGGACTTTGAATAGGATCTGACTTTGAAGTGTGTGTGTGTGTGTGTTTTGCACAGCGGCTGATTGGCACATTAAAAAAAATAAATGCTCAGTTATTGGCTTATTCAATTCTTTCTTTGTGTATGTGTGAGTGACTGTTTTTTATTTGACAAAAAAAAAAAATCTGTTATAGGCTCATTCAATGCTTTGTTTATGGATGTGTGTGTTCCACTCCCATGTGTGTGAGTGTGAATGTGGGCCACATTGAGAATGTTGTGTAGGTTCACCCTTTCATTTATGTGTATGTATGATCTGCATTGTGTTGGATTTATTGATTTTTATTGGACAAAAAAAAAAAAAAAAAACTATTGCTCTGTATTATATTCTCTCCCATTAATTTCCTATGGCTGCCCACTTTTGTCCATGAAGGACCAATTAAGGAGTTTTTAT